CCATTCATCCAGATGCACCCCATGGTAGTGGCAGTGCCCCTTCTGGTAAGTGTACCAGGTGGGGGATTACAGCCAGGCTGCTTGGTCCTAACCCTGGGAGTGTATATTGCTAATATATTTTTATTTCTCTCCCTAGAACGTGTAAGAAAGCCATGGTCTGCATCTGAGGTGAAGGCTGTGGAGAAGACCATGACACCTTTCATACAGACTGGAAAGGTCCCTGGGAAGTCTCACTGCCTGGCCTGCATTAATGCCTCACCAGATGACCTTAGACATCGGACATGGAGTGGCATTAAATTCTATGTCAAAAATAGAATCACTGCAATTCGAAAAAAAAATCTAAAATAAAATTCCTTTAAAATAGTTGTTTGGTTTCTATTGACTGTTTTGTATTACTTAAAGTAGTCCCAGTAAAAAAAGATTATGTCTATGGGTCCCATTCTGAACGGCCCTGTCAAAGGGACCCACCAGGTAACAAAAACGTGTATGTGTGTATGCGTGTGTGTGCGTGTGTTTTTCAAAATACAATTATAAAAACATCTGTCCATACAGTAAGTGTATGTTCATATTTAAAAACATTAAAAGAGAAAATTAAAAGTTCAAATGGAAAAAAATGTAATTAATAAATAAGAAATAAACACAATAATAATAATAATAACAATTACATAAAATCTCACTGTTCTGCACCATACTTTTTTAAGATATTTTTTAGAATTATCTATTTGTTTTGTTTGTAATTTCTCCAACAGGGATCAATAAAGTATTCATCTATCTATCTATCTATCTATCTACATTCATTCATTCACTCATTTTCTACCCCTTTATAAGTCCATTTCTGGGTCAGGGGGGTGACAAGTAGAGCTGCCACCCAATGCTCATAGCACCAGTCCCTCGCTGATCCTCTGCAGGTGGTGGGTCCACAGGAAGATGGCTGCTACATCGGCGGTGCTACAGCCTTGGTGTTTCAGCCGGGGCTTCAGGCAAAGTGGGGTTAAGTGTCTTGCCCAAGGACACAACGACAGCAGACATTAGTGGGAGCAGTTGGAGTAAGTGAGTGAAGAACTAGTATCAGATATTTTCCTCTACACCACCACTACTTTCATTTTGAGAGTTTGGAAAGAAATCAGGCCTTCACCAAGCACTCGTCTGACTATCTATCTGGATAATTAATATAAATCTGCTCATCTATCACCAGCCAATCAATCAGGATACAGTGGCACACTCTCTCACACACACACACATACACACACGCACACACACACGCACACACACACGCACACACTCTCTCGGTGGCCTGATTGTCTGCTCCTATAGGCGCCGCAGGAATTTCTAATGAATAAGAATGAATTGGTGAAAGAGGGATAGGGAGAAATAATTCTGATTAGAGATAAATGAGTATAAGATTGATGAAACTATATGAGGCTCCTTATGGTTGATTTATCACTAATGCGATGGGAGCGGGGTGGGGGAGAAAGAGATGGAGTGGATTGAGGCGGAGAGTTTAGACCAGTGCGAGCAAAATGGTGGGTTTAAAATTGTGGCTAGAATGAAGCTGTGGATGAGGAAAAAAGACCCCTCAAAAAACTGTGTTAGTGAAAGGGCCATATAAGAGAACATTTATAGTCTTTACGAGGGAGACTTTTGATTTGAGAGAAAGGCTCACCTGGATATAACAGACAAAATAAGTTTCTGCAGTTGCGAGTCCGATTCTCACTCGTCTGAGACATGTTTTGGAATATAAAAAGTCAGCGTAGCGTGTTTCACACTTTATTCATAGAAAAGCACTGAGATTCCAACACAAATCAATATAAAATGGTAGTAGCGTTACATAAATAGTAATAAATTCTTGCTTTATAGACAGTAGCTCAAGAAGTTGCACAAAAAACAAAAACAAAAAAACAGAACAAGTGTTGATGATACGCTATCATACTTCTGTGGCAACAAATACTGGAAATACCTTTTTTTCATAATCAGTAGCACAAAGAGGCAACAAACACTTTTCATTTTTCCCTTAAGTCAGAAAGAAGCAAAACAACCAAACGAAACTGGGAAAACAGTGGGTGAACTAGTGAACGATCTACCGGAAATATCCTACAAATGTCGAGAAATCAAATGGAAGAAATGTGAAGAGGAAAGAGCGTCTTTGTTGCAATGCCGTCAGTCTAAGAGAAAGCATTACAAAAGGCAGCAAAAGTATATGTTCCCCTTTTTATATAAAACTATTTCTCTAAGTAAACCATCACCAGGCCCAGGTTATCGATGGAAAAACTAAGCTAAAAAGCATTACAGACGGTGTACTTGGTAAAACGGGAGCGTGGAGCCTAATAGAGGAGATATTAAAAGCCAAAGTGTTGCTGGCTAACACAAATATATTAATAAAAATGAGGTTTGAAAAAAAAAAAAAAAGGGCCTTTCCACATTTCCATAACAACTGGGATTTCCTTGTCATGTTTTGTCCCAATGCAAGAAGACACTAAAGGCTTTTTGATAAATAAAACGAGCGAATATAAACTTTCTACATTGATCGGTCAGAAAGGCATTTTCCACCATTTTGAGTCAATGCTAGCATGCTGGTTCTCGCCTTCACGGCCAACGTCATTCTGTATTCATTATTTAGTCGTAGTGTGTCCACCGTTTTTGCCCGACTGCTGTTGTGCTGGCAGCCATTTTGAAGAAGCGGCAATCCCTCCGTGTGGTTTCTGCATAGTCTTTTAAGTTTTTTGTTCTTTACAATGAATGCCTTCTTCAATTTCCTCAGCATGCTTCACTTTTTCTACAAAACAGAAATTCTTTTTGTCAAAAAAATGAAAGAAATGTACACTGGAGCACCTGAGTAATGCCTTGAAGTCTTTGCCATTACAAAAAAGGAAACAAAAATGCTGTCAAACTCCCCCCATTCAAAACATCCCCACTAAAAACAAACATTGAAATTAAGAAAACACATAACATACTTATTATAAATAATTATAACTTTACAATTTTCTGAATTGACACTTTTCATATTTACAATATCTTAAATGCTACTACTTTTTGTTTTGTTTCTTTAAGTGATGTCCCTGAGAACTGAGTTTGTAGTCTCTTTTAACTCTTGCCCAGTTTCTTTCAATCCCATAATATTCCAGGAGTTGTGACCGACTGCACTCCGGTTTTAAGTAAGTTTGGGGAATGTAGGCAAGTTTATTTATTTATGTAGAACGTACGCACTATGTCTCTCTTTAAAACGCGTCTTTTCCCTTTTCCCAGGACGAAAATGCCGTTTCTTTAGCCGTCCACTTAGTCATACAACCAGTCAACAAATCAATGCCAAGCGGACCGGGGCATACTGAAGAGGTAATTGTGTGAAGTGCTAACAATGTCTATAATTCGACAAAATTCAACCGCTTGTGGCAAGAATCGGCAACTTTTTGTGCAACTAAATTCACAAGCATTCCCAGATAAAGAGGCAAAAAGACATTTCCATTTTAAACGACCAGATATTAGTTTTGCATGCTCGGACTGTCTGCTTATTTACATACATTTTATGGCTTTTTAGTTTTTGATTAATTGTATAACTATAAGCAAACAGTGGTGATTGTGTTGGTTTTAACTAGTCTAAATAAGATCTTAGGCTGATAGTCTCACCCACTGTAAAGTTAAATATGCATTTTACTTTTCCTCATTATTTTAAAAAGGTTGCTCACATGTTCTTCAGTACAATGGGGCTCTCTTTGTTAATATTTTTTAGCTAACTTTTTTTTTACTTTTAAGGACTTAGCGGATTTGCCCTAAAAATATTTACAAAATATAATAGTTATCCATTTTGTTTTAAAGCTGCGTTAGCTAACTTTTTAGCTTCATAAATACATTTTTTTGTCCCTCGTCGTCTTTTAAAAGGAACATTTTGTGAACTAATCAGACACATGTTATAGAAATAGAAAACATGATATCTTGTTAGCATACGTGTGAGGAAGAACCTTGCGAGTCACTATTTGACACTAATGGATCGTGCGAGTCCTTTTGTTTTTGCTTTTCAATCTATAAAAATGTAACCATGTGATTGACTCAAATTTCTTTTTAGAATGCACAACTAGAAGGATTTTATTACACAGTCCATTTCTTATGGTTTGAAAGCCAGGTACCCCAGCTTTAAATTATTAATAAAATAGGAATTATTTATTTCATTTCTTTATTATTTATTTGCAGAGCTGGAGCGGTGGGCGAGACTATTGAGCGCCATGTGTGGTAAAATGTGATAAGAATGTTGAGGCCAAATAAGCACCTTAGTTCAAAGGTGTAGTGCGTTTTAAGTGGAGCGTTGTCATGCGTTCATAGTTTTGGCCACTAACAGAGGTACAGCAGTGCAGAGGTGTCCGTCACAGCGTGATGTATAATCCCAGTCACAGTAAAAGAGCGTTTCTATGTGCACACGGAGTCTGTAGGCATGACTGCTCTCCATCAGGAGCACTGGCCAGCACGTGCATGTGGTATGAGCTAAAGACTAGAGCAGCATGTTTTGGAGTGGTCTGTCCTGTCTGCTCTACTCTACAATGTCCTGAAGAAAACAAGAGGCCATTTTCTGACACAGGTTAAAGCTGACAACAAAAAAATACAGTCGAGGTATGACAGTAACATTGTGTTCACCTCACTGGGCTGTTTTTGGAATGACACTTTCGGAAAAACCCAGTACAAAGCATTTTCTGGCTCAAAGTAGCGACCGCGCCAACACAATCTTTTGGTTTTTAAATAAACATGTGCCGTTTGTCATCACAATCTCCTGCCTTCTTCTGTTTTCAACGTGACAAAACTCAAAACTCCTGTCTCACATACTTCTTTTCTCTCGTCTCAATGAAGTAGAGCAACATACTGCGAACACGTCCTGTTCACATTCAAGAAACACAACAAAACTTAGTCAACCGATGGCTCAAAATTAAAAGTAACAAAAATACAGAAATTTAAAAACCTTAAATATTAAAACAAATAAATTTTACTTTCTCACAAATGTCCCCGTTCGGGGTCTCTGGTCAGCCAAAGCGCTCCCTGACCAGCATCATCAGTTTCTTTTTGCCCTTGTAGATTTGTTTGAGGTTGTCTATGAACTGGGCAAACTGAATGTGTCCGTCCTGTGCCAGCAGAAAAGTTTCCCGTGCTTTACTTAGAAACTCAATGAACTCTCCGTAGTGGCGCGGGCTGATGTGCGTGAGGCGTGAGTGCGTGGTGTTGATGTAGGCAGAGATTGTTGCGTCCAGTAACTGGCGCAGTGGGGCTTTGTCCGTGGACATAAGCTTCCCAGAGTTCCTTCTCCCGGGAATCCCGGCGAGTCCAGGTGCAGTCATAGTGCACCGCCGTAGGATGTCTGAAAGAACTGTGGCGCAGTGCACACTTTTGACCACCAGGGGAATGATGGCTGCCAGCTCATTCTTCCCCAGCGAGTGGCTGAGAGCACAGGCCCACAGTACGTCATTAATAGCCGGGTGAGTGTCCTGGTTGTAAGCTAGGTTCAGGTGGGTCATGGCGAGGGAGGCCAGTTTAAAGGACCTCAGGGGGTAGCCTCTGTGCTCCATGTAGCGCGCTATGGTGAACAACTGAGAGTAGGTCATTCCTGTGGACGCGGCGTCGATCACAATCTGGTAGGCCGTCTCAAAAGCAATGTGGTCCTTCTCACAGAGGGTCAGAGCTGACAATGCACAGTTTTGGGGGTCCTTCATGGCACACTGTAAGGCAAGGGTCCGTGCACAGCTGGCCAGCTCCTCCCTCTGGGGGTAGTCCAGGCTCAGGCGAAGAATAGTGTTGTGGGACATGACTGTGGCAGCCACAATGCTGGTGGCTTCAGTTGGAGTGAAGAGAGTGTACCAGCTTTGCAGGATGCTCACCAACGCACGCAAACCTGAGGAAAAGGCATAAACACAAATATGTTTATATCAAGGAAATGTTTTGATATAGTTTTGAAGAACTCAAATGACCAACTTACCAACTTCAGTGGCACAGGTGACCAGCCAACGCACCATCTCCCGTCTTCTCCAGTTCAGAGTGGACAGAGTCATCCTCATCACCTACAACACATTAGTGTGGTTACATCAGACTCTTTCAGAGTTCAAATGATGTAAAGAAGGTGATTGTGTGGAACCAAGTGAAAAGATAAAACTGTTGCAATGAATTGCAATGACAGGCCCTCTAAGTGCTGTTGTCGTTAGAGAGGCCTAATTGCTGCCCATGCATATTGAAAACCTTATTTGCAATGTTACAGAGGGGTTTGCACACATTTTTAATAGTGAGAAACTGCAAACTAGCATTTTGAGGGCTTCTGTTGTTTACTGTAAAACCCAAATACCTTAATTATATAGTGTGTTTTTTCAAAACCGTGCAATGTTTGCACAGTTCATTTGTAGCAAGGCCATGGAGGTTTGCCAAAATTACATGTTCCAGGAAACGCTTGAGTGCTGACCGATGGCCTGCTGCCGTTTTTTGTGGTAAAATTACTTGTGAAAATTACAGACTCTGATGCATTTGTACGCCTCGCTCCGTTTCAGCCTGTACCTGCAGTCCCAGCTCCAGCGCCACATTCAGCAGTGTGATGTCGGGAGGGTTGTCCGCTGGCGTGGCTATCTTAAAGGCATCCTGGGCCAATTTGAAGATTAAGGAGGAGGAGTGGATGTTCTTTTGTATGGCTTCAAGCACTGTCCGCAACCTCAGCATGTCACCTAGACAAGTGCACAAACACAAATTGTTTAAATGATCAAACGAGCAAATACATTATTCAGTTTTCAATGTTGGTTTGGCTATCATTTTGTGGCAGCCCTTCAAATAACAGTTTAGGCTAATGTTTGTGGATTAATACATTAAAATAATGACCTTTTGCTGCAGTGAGCATAGTAGAGGCCAGCTCGCATTGCTGTGATTCCAGGTGTCCCAGAGTGAACCAGCGTGGATATCTGCTCGGCACGATGGAAATACCATGATGAGAATGGCCCACATCGGAGGCTGCAGACGACTCAAGTACAGGAAGCCTGAAGCCAATGTAAACAATGCCGTTAGCTTCTGTCCGCTTAGCTGCATTTGGTGGATCAAAGTTTTTTAGGACAGTACATCGTATTTGTTCTGTACCTCATAGCGCGTAGAGCCACTTTGTATGCCAGCTCTGCGTCATGGGGCAGCAGTGCAGAGAAGAGGTACTTTGCGAATGTGTGCATGGGAACGCTCTCCCTGTGGATGACCTCACCAAACCCACTAAATGGACCAGCTAAAGGGAAAGGGTTTTTTTTTACTTAAAAAACTCTTACTTACAAAAATGCATATATATTTTATGAGTCATTCTAGCTGACATACCGTCCAGCAGCTGGGCAGCCTGCTTCCTTAATGTATGAACCAGAAGATCATCTAGATCCAGCTCTAGAAGCTTTGAGACTATCTGCTCCTCGTTTCGACAAACCTGAAAACAAGCCGTTCAAACTTTAAAAAGAGACAAACCTAACAAGTGTTTTGTTCTTGTTTTTTCCCCCTTGTATTTTTTCCTTTTATCCGAGATTAGTGAAAGCTTCTATGTAGGAATTCAAAAGCGGCCTCTCCTTGATTAGACTAAAAATAAATCAGACCTTCTACTTGCATTAAAAGCAAAAGCCATGTTAAACTCTTAAGGAGATTAGCATTTACACAAAGAAATGTTTCCATAAGTGATTTTCTGATTGTTTTTCAAGAAGCGGGCTGTGTAATTACATTGGCATTTTCGTTTCCATTTGCATAGCACTTACATATTCTTTATACTTTGGTTGACGGTAGCGATAAATGATCGCACAATGACATCCGTGTTGAAATATTTGTTGTACCTTATCCTGTGCGTAAAGGCCTTCAGGCATTATCCTCTGCTGGCCCATCCCCATCAGGGCCACTTCTAAGGCAAGCGTCAAGTAAGACTCCCCCGAATCAGGGCTGCCCCAAACAGGAACGTGGTTGTAGACTGGAGGTTTGGGATCGCCGTCTGAGGAGACAAACACAGATTAAAGCTAGGTTACCTAACTTTTCCGTTTCATAAATGATACGTGTTGTTTGCGCCAACAGTAAAATGCTTTGAACTTGTTCGAAAGAGCCCTATGAGTCACCATTTTAAGCTTTGGGAGGAAGTGAGAGTGGTTCTCCCTTTTTCACTTCCAAGAAAGATGATGAAAGAGAGGCCAAAGATACACGTATAAAAAAAGATTTTGAGTGGTTTGAAAGTCAGCACCTCAGCTTTAAAATGTATAATACCATATCCAAGCATTGAACATTCTCCTTACAATAATATAAATAATAACAGTGAAGAACCTTTTGTTTTTAATCTCGACTTTAACTGAGGTTAAAAATATGCAATTTGCGTCATTGGACACAAAAATAATGAATCAATAAATTAAAAAAATCCGAACTTTCTCAAGAGCATGTGTTTTTACTGATCAGTTTGGCAGCAGACTTCTCAACTAAAAAGACCCCTGCCTCGCTGATCATTTAGAAACGACTAAAACTTGATTAAAATGTGATTTACTGCAGGGTCTTAATCCAAAGCATTCTCCTTCGACATATCATAAGTTGTTTCTGTAATTACGATGGGTGTAGCTTTGCTTTTAAAAACAACACGTTTAAATCAAGCGCCTCTCCTCCGACTCTGGTTTGAACTGCACTTTAAAAAGGAACAAAGACTGTTTTCAATAACTGGAAAATCTATGGGAAAAGTCTGTGCGTTTTTTTGTCTTCTTAAATGAAGGCTGGATTTAATATATTAGAAATGTGGCTTGTCTAATCTAAGACGGACGCTTGGCTGACCCAGCGTTTGAAAGCTATAACTGACAACAGATGCTATGGAAGTCTCAGCTGTTGATTGGTGCCCATTTGTTCTTGGCTGCACCCCCTCCCTCTCCACCAATCAGCTTAAATCCCCTCTGAGCAATAGATCCCTGCAATCCTGTGTGCATTTGTGTGAAAGATTTGACTTTTTCTGACATAAACCCCGGGTTGAATTTCTGGTCTCGCTCCAAATACGATGCCTATTGGACGGGTTTAGAATGACTGAAGACAAGTGTGCGTTTCCATTGGTTGATGCATGGTCAACAGATGTTCGCAGCTGTCTCCTCGAGGGGGAAAGGCAATAAGACGGGGCCATTTCGCACACAAAAAAACCCACTCTGAATAATCGTGGCTGCCTTCTCAAATTCCCAAAACAGCGCGAGACAATAATTCACTCCGTCTCTTGCGTACACACACACAAATCAACGAGTGTGCCAGTGGTCAGTATTGTTTGAACTGACAATAGTTCCCTGTAGCCTGGTGACAAAAGGGAAAGCCATCCCCTATTCTACTCGGGTGTGATGGTGCAAAAGGGCCCAAAGCTGTGTTATCGATTCGAATGGGAGAGATGGTGATTCTGAACCTACCACATACACGCGATTGTGCATGAGAAAGCTGGAGTAGTTTATTGCTCCGTGTAGCCCTGCCCCTGACTGGACGCAGTTGTCTGGTGAGTCATTCTAGTCTGTTCTATGACCACCTCTGCTCAGGATTACATGGCATTAGCCGGGGAAGGCCGCGAGGAATTAGATCTTGTGTTTTGTAAATAAGGTCTTTGCTAATGTGTCATGTAATAATGAAGTCACAGGTGTAGCGGACAGCAGCTTAGCCTCGTAAGCGCCTTCTCGGCAAAGCAAATGTAATGAAGCATAATGATGAATCCTGGAGGAATATCTTGTAAAAAAATATCCGCAATTCCTCCATTTGTTTAATGTAGCGTACAAGAGAATATGTCAGGATTGTGTGGTCATGCTCAATATGACTTTGGGGGGGGTTTCCTTTTGCTACAGACAAATAAGATGTCATGATTTGGAAACCCATGTCTCCTTATTGTCCTCACCAGTGTCCATACTGCTGTCGTCGTCCACCCTGCAGGTTTCGGTGAGAGTGGTGAACAGACAGCCAATAGGGTCCAGCGGATGACCCACCCAGCCTTCCAGGTTCGTTGTGGAGGTGACGCCTCTCTGCAGAAGCTCTGTAACAGGACAAGCGTGTGAGTGACAGATGCACCCATAAGCAGCAGAGGTTTCCCCATTTACTGTTCTTACCTTTCTTTTGGTGTTTGTAGATGTCCATTTGCCTCGTCTGCTGGAGCCGCAGAGTGTTTATGATGGCCACAGCCAATCGCAGAGCTTCCCTGGAGTAGCCGTGGGAGCGCAGGGCGTCAACTCTGGCGCACGCTGTTGGAACGTGGTCTGGTTCATAAACAAATATAGTTTAGTTACACATACATCAAAGACTTTCTGCACACAGCAACGAATGAGCTGTTCCCAAACAGCAGACACACCGGGCTGCTGCACTGCCGCCTCAGCACAATGCCACTGTGTCTGATAGCTGGCTTAAGTTGCACAATCTGACAGATCTTTGCTGGAAGCTGCTTACTGCAGATACTGCTTCTAATATCAGCAGAATCACTTCTGTGTTTTTAGAGGAATTAGACGGTGTACTTTAGGGCTGTGCTAAAAATGGAGTTCAAGATAAATGACTTTTTTATGAGATACAATATAGATTTTTTATTTATTTTTTCTTTTCATTTTGATATGTTGTAATATTGCCAAAAGAAGGATGATGCTAAAAAGATTGTTCAACAACAAAAGAATAAATCAAATATAAATTTCATAAAATTGGGCGGAGCATAAGGAGCAAACGCTCCAATTTTTAAGTGAATCACATTGAATCGGTTGAGAATATTTTGTATCAATTCTAGAAATGATACAATATGTAGTCAGATCAATCTTTCAGGAAAGCAGCAATCATGACTGGCATACAGACCAAGACAACATGAGACCAAACCATTCTGAAACAGCATAAAAGTGTGTGTTTACCGAGCCACAGAGGCAGTCCCTGGGGGCTGAACAGGAGGCTCTCTCCCTCTCGCTGGTAGGACGGTGACATGTAGAAGTCACTGCTGATGATCCTCTGCAGATGGCTGTCCTGCCAGTGGAGGTCACACGCCTCCACGGCTCGACTGAACACCGTCCTCCGCGGCCGGGACAGAGAGTCTGCAACAGGATGAGGGGGTCATGTTTCCTCATTTACAATTGGCGTTCATAGTTGTGCTCTCTAATCTCAGTAATTGTGCCTGTGTGTACTGACCTTGTGCGAGGTTGCTCTGCGGTAGTGCATTGGTGATATTTGGGAGCTCGCTGCCGTAATTGCCGTCCTCCAGCGGGCACACGTCCATCTCTCCCCACTTCTTCAGCTGCTTTAGCCACCCAGTCTTTTCTTCACTTTTGCAATGCGGGTTTAAAACTACACACACCCACAATGCACCTGGGAAATAGGATGAAATTGTTACAAATAGGCTTATGTTTACTCCACGCTAAGCATTTGTGGAAAGTCAGCAATAAAGCAACTCGAACGGTATCATGCCAAATATGGAAATCTTGTCAGAAATGTCAACTGAGGTCAATTGTAAGATGTCACTGTGCGTCTGGCAGCACACTGTGACAGGCTGTCTGTTCTGTCGGCCTGTGTCATAATCCCCCTCGCTCACCCAGGAAGTGTTCTTATTGACCTCCTAAATGCCGAGATCGATTGCACAGAAGCAGAGAAGCATTATTGATTTGCAGCCTTTACCATTCTCTGGAAGTGGAGAGCTAAAGGAGCGGTCCAGGCAGGAAAAGAGGCGATGTGTATGTCTAGTTTGGCTGAGCGACCTCACAGCTTAGTGACCAGATTCATGTTTACCCAACGAGGCGACTGACAGTGGGTTTTTGGAGAAATCAAAGCTACTCAAACTCAATTACGTCTTCATGATGAAATATGCACTTTTTTGGGTCACAATTTAGGAATGGAAAAGATTGAAGTCCTCCACAAACAAAGCTATAGTTGAGAAAAAAAATCAGTTGAATTTTGGATAACTTTTAGTCTTTTATGTAGATTTGTCAATACAAGTGAGTATCTTTCGTCTTTTCTCATTCCAAATGAGACATCTCATCTTGACTGTAAGAATTTAGAGAGAACACGTTTGTACCATTGGGCTAGGGCTGGGCGATATGGCAAAAAAAAAAAAAATCTCCAATTTTTTCACACCAAATCCAATTTTCGATTTTAATCGATTTATTTTTTTCTATTTAAAAACAAACTACAACTGACAAAGAAATAGATTTTCCTTTATGCAGTTTAATCTAAATCCCCATGGAGCATAAGTGTAACAGGAATTAAGCCTTAAAACATGCTTGTAAACGAGATGGCTCTGCCATTGTAAACAGTGAAAATGTAGCTTAACAGTTTTATAATAACTTCACTTACAATGACACTATGCACCTTCAAAATAACTTAAATCACACAAACAAGGCCCATCGCAAATATATCAATCCTATTAAACACATGCATTATTTATATGAAATATCACATTTTTAAAACTGATTACTCAAAATAGAAATGTTGTAACAGACAGTCTTTTCCAAAAGCCTCCTCGGGTTTTCATGCTTGTTCTTTCAACTGTGCCTGAGTAACTGTGCTGTAGTACAACGCTCGGTCCAGCTGGTGGCGCTAATACTAACTTCAGTGACTCCCGCATTGTCCGAGCTTCCTGTTTACATTCTGATGCTGTAGCTAACAGCTACTGTAGCAGCTACTGTAGCTAACAGCTACTGTAGCTAACAGCTACTGTAGCAGCTACTGTAGCTAGCAGCTACTGTAGCTAACAGCTACTGTAGCAGCTACTGTAGCTAACAGACAGCGGGGAACACGTTGTTTGTATCAGAGCAATGAGAGCAATGTGTGAGACGTGTCTTTCCCCAAAGTGCAGCGGCTCAGTGGGACACGAGTGTGTGCGCGCCACGGACACGGGAGTGCGCTTTGGAATAACGAGCGTGAGAGAGCGTGAAAGATGTGGCGTACGAACATAGCGACCGGGGCTTGCGTGCGTGCGTGTGTGTGTTCTGGCGATTTAAATAAAGTCTGATTCTTGAATGTTTGAAGTGTTATTGCAACAGCACCAACTGTGAGAGCGAGCATCAGGCCAGAAGGAGACTGTTAGCATTAGGTTAGCTTCAAAATGACTGCTCAACACCATAGACCCGCGGTTAGCGCGTTAGCGCTGTAGTTCTGCGCTGGAGAAAATAAAAATCGAATTTTTAAAAAAAGAAATCGCCCTAAACGTAAAACTCGAATTAATGATTAAAATCGATTAATCGCCCAGCCCTACATTGGGCAGAACTCTAAACATCATCTGGAATGTGTGATATTTGTGTATGAGGCAATTGCTTTATACGTTCGGGTTTTCAAATCTAACTTTCTTGAAGTTATTTGAACTCTGACCAAGGCTTTTTCAACATACAGGATAATAAATGACAATGACATTCGTGATAATTGTCAGAAATATCGCAATTAGATAATTTTCCAAAATCGTGCACCCCACACTCAATCCTAATCCCGTCAAATGCATCGCGCTCAAATTATATTTACCAAGTTCGTCCCAAAGCTGCCGGCATTTGTCCGTCATCCCAGTGCCCTGCTGTCTCCATAGCGAAAGACGTGGGTCCGCCATAAACTGCTCGGTTATAAGAGTGAGCATCCGCGCCCCGTTTGAGTCTCGCATTCGTAGCATTTCTCGCACCTGGAAGGACACGAGAGGAGGAGAAAATTACACGTAGGAACGCTTCATCTTGAGGTAAAACATCCTTGAAGCGAAATATCCTTTATGCACATGGAGAAAAGACCACACAATGCATTTTTGTGAATTTCTGTTCACAAAACACAATCTGTGGGGTCAATGTTAGGTCATTTCTCTTCTTTAGTTCATGATCAAATTATAAGCAATACAACATTTATTTTCAATTGAATATGTTAATTATTTGGAAAAGAATCAGGAGGGTGAACTCAATTACTTGCACGTAGCAAGACTGACGACATAGTGAAAGAGGAGAAAAAGACCCATTCAACCCACCCAAGAAAAGTAGACAAAGCCCAAAATGTGGTGTACCTTTGCGAACATGGAGTTAAGTTGTTTGCCTGAGCCATAGTATCCTCCTTGAGTCAGGAACTGCTTGACCTGCTCTCGGACTTGGTCTTCGTCCAGGTGCCAGCAGTTGTCATCGTCGATACTGGCGCCTGCCGTTGGGTCTGGGGCACCTGCAAAGATCATAGACGGACATTAAAAACAGTAACCACTTCCATATTTTTAAGGAATCTATATGCAAATGTTGAGGTATATTATGAAAATGAGCTTGTAAGAATATAAAAAAATAAAATTAAAAATAAATTATGAAGGCAACTGTATCTATATTTTTTTTTAAACAGTAACGACAAGATGATGCACCAAGATCAAGCATCAGTAACCTTTATATTCATTTACTTTGATGATTTTGTACATTTTGTACACATTTTAAGCTGGGGATTCTAAGTACAAAAGTTGATCTAATGAAATCTCATCTCATCTCATTTGTCAGAGTCAGAGTTTTAGATAAATTAACCTTACCCCTACTCCCAGGGCTCCTTTTAACAAGTTTGCAATGAAAGTATATATATGTGTTCTCCTAAGAGACTGCATGTTGCGAGGACATATTGGTTGGAATATGAAATAAAGTTAGGTAGCCCAGCTTTAACCCAATATTTACCCTTGAAAATGATCTAAAACACTATTAAATGTACTGTATATAGGCCTATACACAATACAGAGAGGCACGGAGTTAAATCAACAATTACATCAAGCTATAGTTATTCTTCAGTGCTCAGCAACAATAACGCGTATAGCAATGCAGAAGGAAAACATGTGTACGTGGAAAGAGAAGAGGAGCGGAGGAGAAGGGGAGGCAGGGCACGCCGCTTTGATCTGTCAGGAAGAAAGTTTAAGGAAAGCCCAGAGATGTGTTTCCAACTGGCTGCGAGAAGCAACAATAGCAAACAGCCACATTCCTTCATCAAAGCCACACTCCTGGATCGCATGAACTCCAACCCCCATGATCCCCCTTGTCAAACACAGACTGGAAACACAAGAGTGGGGCTTCCTGCGCAGACCGGCTGCAGAATGTCAACATTTTAGCAAACTGAGAAGGACAAAGAGGTTTGTTTTGTAAAGAGATGTCTGTAGTTGTGGTTTGCCTCGAAGTGGGCCTCTCTGCGCTCTGTACTTTCTCTTGGAGTCTTTTATGTGTCTATGCTCTGTCCCTTCTCCCTGGCATCCATTTCATCATTGGACTTCTTGTTTGCCTGTTTCTTGACAGAGCCATGCTGGAAGGAAGCAAGCAAAACACTTATTTGAAGTTACTTTTGTCCTGGCAATCAGGACTTTGTGTGTGTGAAACTAGCAAGTGCAAGCTTTTAAGTCTGGCATGTTGCTATGAAGATATCCCAGCGCTGTGCCAAGCTACCACAAAACCTTTTAGGGTTTTCACTGCAGCTCTATAGCTTTTCAGACTTGGCCAAGAGGACCTTTATTGGCGGCTAAAACTCTCACCGTGGACCTGGTTGATCTCCGAGTTGGAGGAGAGAATCTCGTCTGCCAGTTTTTGTGCTGTGGGCAGGACCTCTGTGTGGTGAGCAGTTATCAAATACTGCACCAACTTCTGCAGCTGATCCCGGTTCATCTGAAACAACGTCTCAGAGATGGGTAACCGCAGCTTTACCTACAAGCAAACAGACAAAACATAACATCTATTAAATTAAATGTAAATATTAAGACATATTTCTAGACAGTTCAGACAAATTAAGGTTAAATCTATGTGGTGTTGTTTTGTTGTTTTTTTCACTTTTATTGATGAAATAAATATTATACTGTTCGAAAAGATGCACACCAGCGCTTCTTGAGGTGCAAATGCACACTCAAAAATAGAAGTCCAAAATTGTATTTATGTAATACAAAAATATTCATCACTCTTTATTTATATAGTGCATTTTTTCAGACCAAGGTCACCCAAAGCGCTTTACAATGTTCAGATATTGGTTCATTCTCTCTGGCGCGTCAAAGCCCCCAACCAACACCATCTATTGTGCATGTTTTTAGTGGTAGGGGAAACCGGAGCACCTGGAGGAAATCTACGCAGACACAGAAGAACATGCTCAGAAAGGCCCCGACCTGGATTCAAACCCTCTTGCTGAGAAGCGTGAGAGCCAACCACTCAGCCACGTATCAGAAGAGGAACATTTTAGGAGGCTCTGACAGTTTCAGTGAATTACTCCAACTCCATATTATTTCATATGTATTTCACCAAAAGTACAATATGGTACTCATCTTTGAGACACCATGTCAAAATTGGACAAGAAATGTCTTCGACTATTTAAAACGTCATAACAGTGTGGTCTTAGAATAGTCCTCCCGCAAAGTAAAGCTAAAGAATGTCATTATTATATAGAGAACTACTTAGCCTTGCATTTGTGTACTGCTGACAAAAGGTAAAAGGGTATAAATATATTCTAATGGATTCTGCTTAGGTGGTATGCGTTTTCACTTCGGAGTCAAGGGACTGTCGCGGCGAGAAAATACAAAGCATCATAATTCCTGCTTCTTACCTGCTCGGGCTTGCGAATCCTGTACAGTGATAGCGCCACCACATGGGCGCAGTAGAAAATGTCTTTGTTCCCACATCCACAGGTGACAGAGGTGATCTTGCATCTGTCAAAGCTGATGGCGACTTTGTGTGTGACCTCTGGCTCCGTCGGCGTGGCCGGCTCCGTGACTGTGCCGCTCAGATGAAACCCTAAAAACAAAAATGAAAGGAGAGAATGGTCAATGATAGGGATCGCTGTACAGAAATACTGCAGGATGTAGATGTGTTTTTCAACATTTGGAGATGGATAAAGACAATAGACAAAGGAAGAGGCAAAGAAACTGCTTCGGCGGTAACGTGAGCTGTGCAAATATACAGAGTGAACCTTCAGCACAAAACACACCCCCCTAATGAGACGGCTCTAATCGGGCGCAGGGCCATCTGATACCCGCCTGCTGTCTCCAAGCACACACTGAAGAAAGGGTGGGAATATTTCCGGCCGCTCCATTATTAAGTAAAAGTGTGTGAAAGAGAATCCACGGCTCAATTATCAGGCGTATTGTGGAAAATGTATTTACTCTGATTAAACCGGTTTTAATTTTTGGGGCAGTGTTGCGATACATAATGGGTGTTGGATTTAATTTCCTATACTACAAACTCCTAATGTTTTTTTTGCTTTATAAAGCTGCAGTTGTATTGGATCAAATTAACTAAATCTCAAAAATGGGAAGGTTTCATAATTCATCTGAATCTTAGTATTGATGTTCTTTGGAACTTTTCCTCTTTACCAGGCCATATGTAGAGGTGACCCTAGTCACAATATAGCTCTTCATTTTTGGCCATATAGACACATTTACTCTATAATAAATGCATCGTGAATAAGACTTAATACATTTTCATCCAATCACTGCTTGAATTGTTTCTCTTCATTGATCTCTTAATATAATCAAACTCTTCATATCGTACTACACTGTATAGCACTCATTTCACAGAAAGACAAATAGAATTTAAATATAAAATATCTTAATTAATTGACATGAGCCTTGAACCTTTGGGGTGTATCTACAAGCCTATTTCAGGAACACAAGGCCCTTTTTGGCCCCAACAAGCCACCATTTGGCCAATTGAGCTTGCGAAACTACCTGGACGCAGTCCAAATGTAACCCCTTTATGGCCTCTTCTCATACACACCAGCAATCCAACAGCTGTAGTCTTAGCACTGTTTAATTGTGGGGGATGTAAATGAATAACCAGCCTTTGTTGGCACTACTTTTTTGTACACCCGGTGTGATGCGGCCATGACACTTTGGGGACACTGGCACGTGAACATAAGGCTGGTTGGCCACACTTCAAAAAGCCATTTATTCAACATCACACGTGTGCTATAACCTCAGAGTGACACAGGCGCAGCTAGGTTAAAAAAGTAGGTTGTGGTAACGAATACTATAGGATAAGGAGGGTAAAGAAGACAAGATGGAAGAGTATCAGATCCAGCTCTCCTTCTCACTGTGACGGGTCAATTATTTACGAAACAAAGTATACAGGTAAAGGGGACGACGTAAGTGTAAAGATGTGAACACAAAATAATTTGAAAGATAGTTTGGATGTGCAAAGAATGAGGATCCACTCAATCAACCTTTATTGGCAGAGCGTTTTTCCTACACTTTGTGGGCTGTGAACACAAAGTGCTTCAGAGCCCACGTCACATAAGGCATTAAATCATAAACAATAAAATCACACAGGGCATTAAAACAACCATTTGTCCAAGTATCTATCTATTTTATTAGTCTTTATGTTTACAGTTCAGATAGCGTTTCCATCTTTTGTATAGTGCTTTTGGACATTTGTATATTTTGCGCATTAACTATACCTTTTCATTGTGTGCACAATACAATGGATGTACCCAACGCTACTGCCTAAAAACAAAGTCCAGATATTAGAAGAGGACACTTTCAAACTGCTCACAAACAAGAGCTTAAGATACACACAGTATTGCACACAGGCACAGACATGAACAATTAGGCTCTGGGGTTTGGGCCAGCATGGTGGAGCAGGCTAATAAGAAACGTGTTAAGCCATCTACTTGGCAAAAAGAAAGAAAAAATCCTCTCACAATAAGATCACACTAAATCCATTGCACAAATGCACACATGCAGAGATCTAATTAACAGAGCAAAGATAAGGAAAGACAGGAGTCCAAATGTGACAGACACTGACCACAAGCCCACCATCTGAGCATGTGTGAACGAGCACAGTGAAATGTACTTTATCACTGCGGATGAGAGTTGTGTGTTTCTGAGCACTTGGATCTTATATTAATGTCACTATTGTCCATTTAGGCGTTTATGGTTCGCTACATTTGTCAATAAAGAGTGGGGGGTTTATGGCAGTTCATAATTTGTTAAGCTCATGCTCCACCGGCGGAACAAGAAGGACAAAAAGCATTGGACATGACCATAGAGACAATATTGATCCTCCATTTATAAGTATCAAAGGAGAACAAATGTAGCAAACAAAAACAAAAACATTACATTATTATATTAAAACGATAAACTATAATTAAACATTCACCTATAAAAAGACAGCTTTTCTGAAATGTTTCCTTTTAGAATTGTGGGCCGAAAAGAGTGCACACATTGACCTTAGTGACCTACTGACCTAGTGACCAACATACTAAACTGGCAGTCGCCTTTGTCTTTTAATTACAATCAAGTCATGATAAATAATATATGAATTTTATTGTTCTACAAATAATAGCTGGGACAATATATTTTGAGATATTTGTTTTTCTGTGCAATACTCGTATGTATTTTTTTTTATTTTGTAATATACAATAATACTTGAGCTGTATGGTTTAGGCTACTTATCTGGCTAAAGTTATTTTCTGCCAGTTATTACTTTTGAATTAATTTTTAGCAATACATAGAAATCTATTTTTATGTTTTTTTTGGATTTCACAAGTCAAGAATACCATTTCATCAATAATTCAACGTGATTGTCCACACACAAAAATAGTAGTACTTTCTTTTACATCAGACATTACCTCCCCTTTTCAAATAAGGGAAAGGTTCACCTCAACTTTTAAAACTTTGCAAATTCAGATTCCATTTGGTAATATTGTAATATTTTGATTCAAAAAGCAGCCTCCGTTCTGTAAGTGCATGTCTGCGGCCCAGAACAAAGTGGCCACTCCTTCCAAACGGGCATCTGACAGTGACAGAGTGTAAGGGAGAAGACAGTCTGGTGCATCTGCCACTGAGAGACATAAAGAGTCCTCCAAAAGTGTTGAAACGTCCCGCTGCGCCCGCCTGTCCAACCAATTTACTGTTTCAGAGTAAATGTAATATCATAAATGTGTCAAAAGAGGATTTCTAGCTCCTCCGACGGCTCTATAATGGGTATACCTGTAGAGCCAATTTGCACTAACCGCACCTCGCCGTAAGACACACCAAATTTGATTTTCTCCTGCAGAAATAATCACAGTGGAAAGCAAAGGTGGGCCAAAAGATAACACAAAAATACTGTGCTGTGCATGTCATTAAGACACAGAGCCAACATGATTCTCAAATTGTCCCCCAAAGCTGTCTAAATATTTCATTTTAGATTTGAGTTTGATACTATTACATCTGCCAAACCAGGAAAAGGGTTTCTTCTGAAGAAATCTCAACGACCAAGGAACATTCATTATTTAACCCTTAGACGCTTCTGAATCCAACGCTTTCTATACTGTGATCTGGCTTTTGATAAATCTATCCCCTACATATTTTTGTCAATTTATTTCTAATTCATTTATTTAATTGATTTCAGCAGTCGGCTATTGCTTAAAGTTTCACATGACATTTCTGAAGGGTTAACAAGTTGTTCGCCTGGTTTCAAGTATAGTTGCATCCACCCTTTTATTTTTTCTTTATTCGTTGCTGGAGTGCGAAGGCCGCAGTCTACACAGAGACGCCCAGACATTCCTCTTTACACCCAGTTTCTCCAGCTCATTGGGGGGAATCCAGAGACATTCCCAGGCCAGCTGAGGAACCAAGTCCCTCCAGTGTATCCTGGGTCTTCCCTGGGGTCTCTACCCTCAGAGGGATATAATCAGAGGAGGCATCAAAAACAGATGCCCAAGTCACCTCAACTGGCTCCTTTCGATATGGAGAAGCAGAGGCTCTACTCTGAGCTTCTCACTCTGTATACAAAAAAAACGCAAACTGAGGAAGAGGTACCATAAATAAGATGTAGGAGTTGCTTTAAAAAGTATCTACTAGACCAGTGTTTTTCAACCAGTGTGCCGAGGCACGCTGGTGTGCTTTGAGATGTTAGTGTGCCTTGGAAATAGTCCTATATCACCTGCTTAGTCAAAATCATGTGACAATAAATTAACTAAGTGTGAGATGATTAGAAAGATTGTTTGTGCTAGTTTGAATTGCTACATAATACTTATTGATGAGAATGACTTAGCCCTGTTAAGAAAGGCTGTAGAATTTACATTTTGTATCAAATTCAGTTGGTGGTGTGTCATATGATTTTTTGCAATGACAAAATGTGTGAGGAACACTGTACCAGATGAATAACCAATGGGGCTATATCTGTCATCAATATATATTTTCCTTTCATAGAGATTCTACTTGAAATGAGTGCTCCGCTCTGCGTTAGCTGAATCTCCATAGTGCTCATTTTCTAGTGATCAGTATGAAGAAAGACGACACAAAATGACCGACAGAAATAGAGTTTGTAATGATATGGTTGGTTTATGTGGATGAAGGCAACAGCTGAACCTGAACGTGTGCACAAAACGGCCCATTTTATTAATCCAAAGCATGTATCGATCCGCTTTGTTTATGAGGAAAACTGTGTTGCCTTTTTGTTTGCTTGGTAAATCAATAATGCTATGATGAAACATTTTATATTTTTTTGTCCAACCTTCTGTTTGAGTGCAGCTGAAACGCATTGACACTTGACACTACAAAGACACCCACGAACGCGGCGAACCGAGTGACCTTTTCCGAGTCAGCCGTGCTTTTGTTCTTAATGCCACGGAGAGCAGAGAACCCCAAAGACCGCTTCGATATTTGCACAAGATAGCTTTTATCCCAGTACCTCAAAACCTTCAAACCCGTCAGTGCTATAGCCAGAACAGATGAATTATAACCAAGGTGAATTAGTGGCCTGACGAGTGTGCTAACTGGGACTCATGCCAAGTACAGTGATCCAGGCTT